CATTCCTCTTTAGAGATTTTCGCGCTCACACCATCACTTCTTCAGTAGTTCTGAATGAGTATTACTTAATAATAATTTTTGAGTGCTTTCTACGTTGCCCTCATCGATTGAATGCTTTTGCCTTTTAGTTGTCATGCAGTATAGTAACAATACAAGAAAACTATTTTCAATTTTGCTCTAAATTTCTATGTACAATGTAAATAATTACTATAAACATAAATTACTAGAAGCGGACCTATTCCAAATGTACAACGGCGAAATGTGGCCACTTTGAGCATCTGTCCAAGCGCTTAAATTACAACCAAATAAAATAATAAAGTCCACTGAGGTGAACGTTAGTCAAGGGGTCTTGTACCTGAATCACCCTGCGGATGATGAATGAAAATCTATTTTTCTGGATTCCAATTGTTTTCTAAGACTGGAGTGCTTCTAGTAGTTTTCTTTTCGTGTGTGTTTACGTGAGAATAAAAATGTGCTCGGAGTAGAGTGAATAGTTCACAGAGCGAGAGAGTACGAAATTTAAACGGTTTTTACCCCAGCACCAGCCGCGAGATTTCGCACACGTTTCATGACCTAAAACAAAAGCACCTGCTCTACACTCAGCAATTGTGAACGACTCGGAAGATTAGCTGCGAAAAAGTCAAGGTGGCCTTTTGCTTCCCTGTTCCCAAGTGTTCAGTCCGCGATGTAGACGTTGTTGTTGCTTTTTGTACTCTCTGTTTAATTGAGCCATGCGTTTGCTTCACGCCTCACCATTGTTCTAGTCTCAATAAAGGCAAAACAGGAAGAGGCACAAATCCAAAGTTAAACGGTTCAGGGAACTCAGCTGAAATAATGGCGGATTCCAAATTGGCAAGGATGTTCATCATTCTCAGAAATGCCATTACCAACCGGCATACTTATTTTGGTTCCGTCTTAATGAGGTCCTACTCATAAGCCTTCGAACACAGTGGTCATCTATTAGGTTGTTAAGTTGTAAATGTGGCACAGATTTAGCCAGACTTTCCAGTCCACTGGGCAGATTTTCGCAGAGGTGCTTGTTCTTGCATTCGGAAGAGGGCATCTGATAATAGAACTGACTACTCTTTGGCCATAATTTTTTTGGTTGAATTTTTTCTTTATAACCATTCGGAACTTGTGAGTGTGTTCGTGAATGGATTACGACATCTTGAGGAGCTCAATTCAGCCCTGTCACCAGGAAAGGCATTCAACTTCCCATGGAACTTTGAATTGAGACCCAGATATATCGATAGAGCTTCAAACGCTGATTACAAATATGGAAACTAAAACTGCAAAATGAACCTGCCAAGGAAGTTGTGAGCAGTCAAAGTTGGCTGGAAGTAAAGCGTTACGTATTACCGTGTCGCTTCCGGACTTACACACTCACCGTGGAGTAGTGGTAGTGCTCTCCAAATTTGCACTCCGACGGCAGAGAGCATTACGACATTCCGATGATAAAGCGAGGCACTACTACTACTCCACGCGAATAGGAAACCGGCGGTGACGGTTCTATAATAACGTCTGCCACTTTCCAGCCAACTTTGACTGCTCACAGCTTCCTTGGGCAGGCCATGTTGTAGTTTCAGTTTACAACTTTGTAATCAGCGTCTTAAAGCTCTATCGACGTGTCTGGGTCTCAATCCAAAGTCCCATCGAAAGTTGAATGCCCTTCCTGGTCAGTTACGGCCAGCTTTCACAAACAAAGCGGCCAACATCGTACGGTGCATTGCCTCGGCGTGAAATAAAAAAACAATAATACTCAAATTAACACGTTGACGACGAGCGATTTTTTCCTTGTCGCGCGCATGGGACGAGACGTTTTTTGCATGCAAAGCGCCGGTAACAACAGGGCAAAAACTTATTTTGTAGCTCTGTAAAATCTCGAAATGCACAAAATGCCTTTGACTAGAGTACTCCAGACACGTTTAGAAACAAGGAAAAGTTGTTACTACTGAATGCTGGGTGAAATTTCAGTGACATCGCCTGGCATTTTCAAACCTCAGGTTAGAATAGGTTCTGAAGGCGCAATTTCACGCATTCTTCATTTATTATTAATATGAGCTTTCCTTTAGATGGTACTGGTATCCTGATCACATCTGAAATCTTCTACGAATTTTTCACTCAAGAATGACGCAAAAAACTTTGCGTACCTGACGGAATGAGCTTTTGTTTGACTGTTATCTTGTTCTTCATGATCGAATAAGTGATTTAAACGAGTCATTTCAAGGTCAAAAAATTGTTTGTGAAATATTTGGCAGTTGATGGACTGGATAGGTACTTTTGTCCTGCCTATGAGTAAGACTGAGCCTACTTGACCATCATGGGAACCTAAGGCTAGAAATGGGACGGTGACCTAATTAGTATAAATGTCGATATGAACAATTTTAGTGGGATTTCCAGTTGCTTATGATGTGTGAACTTTGTTGTGACTTCAATTGAAGAGCGGCGTTCTGCACTGATTAAACTATTTTCATAATAAATAACCAGGAATTAGAAAGATCATAATTCGCAGACAAGTGTAGTAAGTTAGGACACTGAAGTAAACGTTGAAATAGAAAAGTCGCGGGTTCCATCTAAGTTTGCTTACTTTCAAGCTGTCGGTCACCATTGACCGACATCGTCCCATGTGACAGACTGCCTGTCGGTCAGCATTGACCGACATCGTCGCCAACGTTATCGTTAACTGCGGCCACGACGGCCAAGCTGCCTGTCACGGTGAGAAGAACCAGCAAAAAAAGTGCCAGACCCCAATGAAGACTTTCGCTGAACAGCATTGTCACATCCCTCTAACTGTCGCTGAACGAGTCAACGTGCATGTTAAATGAAGAAGAGTTCGCGATCACAAATAATTCTGACTCTGCGGAATCTTGGTTTGCCCGCGCACAATGGTTAAATTCTTCGAGAAGGACGTCGAG